TGGTTGTCTGATTCCCTAGAGTAACTTTTACAATTTTTTTTTCTCTTGATTGACCCAAAATGCTATAATTTTGTGCTAGTTGGTGGGTTTGTTTTATCCTGTTTGACACATAGTGTTACCTTTCAACCTGAGTGTTCACTTTTTCTTCAGTGTTATTTGTTGTTATGTATTTATTTGAGGATTTCCTTTGTTATTTTAATTTTATTTCTCTAGACCTACTTAAGGGAACCACATATCATTACATAGACTTTGGGATTTATAGATTTTTAAAAAATATATATTTTATTTAACTTTATGTATCCAATTGTTTATTTATTTTAATTTGGCCAGAGAGGGATAGAGTGAAAAAGAGAGACAGTGAGAAAGCAAGCCACCAGGTCTGGGACTCGAACCACAGTCAGCCATCTGGGAGTCCAGTGCCCTTACTACCACTCCACCTGCCAGTTCTGAGATTTATAGATATTTTATCCAAGTCTTTTGTTTGTTTGTTTGTTTTTAGAGTTTTTTGCCTTAGAGTGTGTGCACTCACCAGAGAAAGAGAGAGACAGTGACAGGGAAAGTGAGAAATTACCCTCCAGGAGGGATGGCCATGCTACAATCCCTTCTTCAGTCTCTTCCTGGGGTCTTGGACACACACGCACACACACCCAGCATGATTTTGAAGTCACTGGGCCCAGGACATGATCCACAGTTCAACACATGAGAGTCCAGCGACATAACCACTACCCTCTCTGCTGGCCCCTTATTCAAGTCTTTTGATTTCTCTTACTTCTTTTCATCTCTTTATTCCTTTGTGCTCTCTTCTATAATGCCACTTGGCCCCACTTTCCAGCTCACTACTTTAGCTCTTTAGTCGTTTCTTTTTTTTTTTTTTCTGCTCCTCAGTCCACTATTTTTTAAAAATAACTTCATTATTACAATATAATGTACATATACAAACATGCACAAACCAAAAGTGTTCAGATTGACGAAGAACCACATAGCGAACACACCTGTTCAACCTTCACAGATGAAGAAAAATAGCTGCGAGAGAGATGACTTTACTCTTTGAACACATACAGTGTGTGTTTCTGATATAGTGATAGTAACTTAGGAAAGTGAAAGAACAAGAAAAAAAACGGAAAGCACTGCTAGATTCATCTTTAACTTAGTTTGCAAGTAAGTCGAGTGTTCATTCCTTAAGAGTAACCATTCGGATCCCGAGGCAAAGAGTTTGGCTCAGATGAGGTAAACGGGAGATCCTCTAGCTCTTCAAAGACTTAGCTCTCTGTGATTTTGATCACAATCATCCTAATATTTCCCCTTGCTCATGTAATCATTTTCCTTACCCTTCTCTCTATATAATATCAGCTTGTACTTTTTTCATGGCAAAACCAAATTGGGAGAAAGTTTCTCTGAACTATGCACTCTCCTAGAAATCCAAAGTTCCTCTCCTGGCCTAAGTTGCACCCTGAATAAAAAAGTAGAAAGGGTTTAAAAAAATAGTCATTAACCTACTAAGTGAGACATATATGGAAATGACAACTCTCTCTGGGCCATTGTGTAAACATACGAGTAACCTGCCTATATCCCTTTAGGAATGATCTATGAGAAGATGGTAGAGAAGCTTATAGCCTCCTCAGTCTGATGCTCTGCCTGTGGTTCATTATTATTAAGTCGTTATTGTTCATTTTTATTAGAACCATTTTAGAAGATATTCTCAAGAGAAAAGAATCTCAAGAAACTCATTACAATTTTCAGTTCTCATGTGAATCTCATGAACTCTCGAAAAGTATTTAGGTCCTTCAGTGGCTAGAAAAATTTGTGGTAAGTTTAGTTGAAAAGGTCAGTACCTATCATGCCTTTTTTTCTCCCCATCCATTCAACAAATAATTATTGACCACCGATTCCGTACTAGGCTCTTTTAGTAGACATGGCAAATATGATAAGTAATATGAGATCCCGCTCTGAAGGAAATTCTCTTTTAGTTGGAAGGGAAAGGTATACAGAAATAAAAATAAAAATAAGCAAATAAAAGGAAGAGGCATGTGCCCTAGAGTAGCATTAACAAGCGACATGGGGCGAGAGGTGTCAAAAGAGAGAGGTCACAGTCAGATCAGTAAACCAAGATGGTTTTATGGAGGATGGCGTTTGAAATGAACCTTGAAACTAGGGAGGAACTTGATAGAGATGGAGAAAGAAAGAACATTCCAAGAGAGAAAACTACATTAAAAAAAAAAAAAAGTAAAACTAAGCTATATGAAGTAGTTGAGTGTGGCTGAAATAAGAATATAGACAAATAAACAGAGGTTGGTTGTTTAAAAAAGTTGTTCAGGCCATTCTGGTGATGTGGTGATTGGGGAGGCTGAATCCCACATGACCAAACACGCAGTTCAAGTCCTGGACCCGACAACTTGAGAAACATGCTTGGTAAGTGTGTGTGTGTGTGTGTGTGTGTGTGTGTGTGTGTGTGTATGCCTGAGAGGAGAGTTGAGAAGGGATTGTGGTATGGTCACCTCCCGCCCCGGGGGGATGCTTTCTCATTCTGCCTCTCTCCTTGTCTCTCTGGCTAGTGCACACATCCTATAGCAAACTGGGGAAAAAAAAAAGTTGTTCTATATGCACCAAACTTGTAGATTACAACTTTAACCAATGGCTAGTGGGAGTTGTAACATTCAAACCAAACTATTTTCTGGAATAGTGTAAAGTTCTTGAATAAATACAAATGATCTCTGTGTTAATCCAATTTGATCTGGGTCAAATACTTTAAGCACATGCAAAGTGCCAAAATGATCCCTTTCCTTAAGAAGTCTTTGTTTTCATGACTAGAGTAGAGGAACCAAAACTTTGCCCAAATTTTTCTAAATAAAATACTGACCCACTAAAGTAAATGCTGATAAGTAAAGAGTTAGATCTGGCTGAAAGGAACATGGAAGTCTTTGTGCAAAATGAAGGTTTAAGCAGAGTGTTGAAGGGTGAGGCATGCAGGGCTGGAGAGGATGGAAGTGGGAAGATCAGGTTCCCCCCTCCATTTTAATACTCATGGACAAGCACAGAGGATGTAGAGACACAGGTGCATCTGGATTCACTGCCCTCTGTGGATGCACCCTGACTTAGGCAATCAACTGTGGGTGTTAAAGAAACTTTTCTTTAGCGTACATTGCTATTATGGATAGGAAATTTAAGAATCCTGTGAAACTATCTAGGCATTCAACCAGGAGCTTTATTTATCTTTTGAAAGCATTATTATTAAAATAATATCACATGTTGCTACTATGACCACACTGTAGAAAAAGAAAGAGGTTGGAGAAGGCTTTTGAGAGAAGAGGATGACCCCCTTGAAATCTGAAAGACAATGAGAGTATAAAGAGGGCACCTCAAGAAGAGAGGGCAGTCGGTAAAGGTGGCAAGATGGAATTTGATGGAGTTGAGAAATGCTAGTGGCTCAGAAAGACTGAAGCATAGAGGAGTTAAAGCAGGGAGGAGGCTCTAATGAGGGCCGAGTCACCTCTTGTAAGGCCCATACTTCATTTAGTTTAGCTCTCAGCCTAAGACGATGAGAGTTATCAAAGCATTTCAAATAAGGAGGAGATTTTCACTTTAGAAAAATCGCTCTGGAAACTACAAGAAAGAGAGTGGTAGTGGACTGAGGCAGAGGGACTGTCAACATTTCACCGCGATCAGCTGCCAAAGCATGGTGGGAGCACAAGTTTCCCTGCGGTGACTAAGGCTTGTTGCAGAGATCTGGGGAAAGGACTTATGTTTGAATTGCCTGGTTATGTCATTAGGGTCTCTCACCACCTTTTGTTTGTCAGAACATTGCTCAAGCCAATTTTTTTTTAAAACCATAAGGCTTAGGAATAAGAATATCACATACATTGAGGAAATTTTAATTTAACTTTCTTGAGAGCTGGAAACCAACCGCTTGCAAAGTTCAGCACATTCCTTGAAGTTACTCTCACTTCCCTGACCGTCTGAGTCAGGCAGAAAAAAGCCTTCGTTGCTACGACGACTTCATCCAAAGCCCTCTACAAAGTGCTGTCCTCTCCTCTACTCTCTGCCTAAGCCCTCTGAGATTGCTTGGAAAATTACAGACTCAAACTACGAATGTTACTTCTTCATTTATCTTTCCAGAAATCCCACTTAGATAGCCCTTTCTATCAACCATTGTATTTCTGTTACCAGTTTTACTAGTCTCAAACTGTCTTTTTGAGAAGGAAATCTGGACTTCCCAGTAGAATTAGATTTTATTTTATAATATTTTCAAGCCTTATTTTGTTATTATTCTATTGGTTTGAAAACCTGTCTAAGGAAGAAGTAGAGAGGGACCAAGAAAGGATGCAAGTGACATAACCTATGTCACTCAGGACGTGGTGCTATGGAGGCATACGAGGACCAAATCTAAACTCATTTTCTTGTTAAAACATATGACACCATATATTGAATAATAGCAATATTATATATTAGCATCTGGATTTCACAAAGGTATTTGGCAGCGTTTCAGCATAAGGGACAAGGTGAAGAAATGGGGACTGGATAAAGTTGTGTGGTTTAGCATGATTCGAATCTGACAATTCCTACAAGGTGTTGATTAATGAATTGCGGACACTTTGTAGAAAGGACTCTAATTTTAACTCTGTCTTGTTCATCAAATTTCACAATCACTTAGTGGCATGCTATTAATTTTGCAAACGACCCAATTCATTCACCGCAATGCTAGGCACTTAGTAATTGCTCAATAAGTGTTTGCTGAATTCAATTGAGAGGAAACTATTGATACTTTACATGAAAGAATCATGATTGTAAATGAGTTCATTAGGCTGAAAGAAAGTGAAAATACAAATACAATAATATTGAAAAGGGATAAATGAATTTTGTGCTCTTGGACTCAAATAATCAATGGTGTGAGGGTAGGATTGAGAAAGTCCAATTTAACTTGATAAAAAAATGTAAAATGTTTAGGAACACATGCTAAATATGAACTAATCAGCTGCTTCCCTCTCCTGACAAAATGTACACAGGCTATATAGCATCGTGTGCCAATCACGGGAGATAACAGCCTGTTCACCTCTGCAATGTATGGTCAACATCTGGAAACTGCGTTTCATGGGAAGGACCTCATTTCCAGAAGCTCATTAATCAAGAGACTGCAAATGGCAAAGAGCTCCTATGAGAAAACCTTGGATTATATGCCCAGAGTAGGGGTAGAGGTAATAATGGGAGTCTTTATGATAGCTACCTAGATATTTTTAGAAGTTACCATGCACAAGCAGGATTCAAATTACTTTTGGTAGCTCTTGAAGGCTTAGCTTAACTAAACTAAGCTCAACTTAAATAGGACCTTGAGAGGAATGAAGAGGGGAAAAAACAATTCTGGCTCTAGATTAAATAATAATAATAATAATAATCTTTACTATGTAAAATGATTACCCAATGAAAAGTGAATGTCCCAAAGAAATACTGAAAAGCAGGAAACTTTTAGAGAGAAGTATTACACAAAGCAATTTGTTGAATTTTAATACATCAAATTTTGAAGTCCCTTGTATTTTAAGACTGCCTGATTGTGGTCACAGTTATGTTATCCAAAAGTAAAGAAAAATCATATTTAACCGCTGTCATCCAGTTAATCATCATGAAGACTGAAATATATGAAACATAGGATTTAAGCAATATGAATTCAGTCGAACTCAATGAACATTTTTTGGATTGCTTCTTTTACAAGAAGTAAAAGACACATGTAGGTATTGACTTTATCATTCAGTTCACCATAGTCTTGACCACAGTAAGTTTAACACTCTTGTGATAGAAAATGATTACCATGCACAAGCAGGATTCAAATTACTTTTGGTAGCTCTTGAAGGCTTAGCTTAACTAAACTAAGCTCAACTTAAATAGGACCTTGAGAGGAATGAAGAGGGGAAAAAACAATTCTGGCTCTAGATTAAATAATAATAATAATAATCTTTACTATGTAAAATGATTACCCAATGAAAAGTGAATGTCCCAAAGAAATACTGAAAAGCAGGAAACTTTTAGAGAGAAGTATTACACAAAGCAATTTGTTGAATTTTAATACATCAAATTTTGAAGTCCCTTGTATTTTAAGACTGCCTGATTGTGGTCACAGTTATGTTATCCAAAAGTAAAGAAAAATCATATTTAACCGCTGTCATCCAGTTAATCATCATGAAGACTGAAATATATGAAACATAGGATTTAAGCAATATGAATTCAGTCGAACTCAATGAACATTTTTTGGATTGCTTCTTTTACAAGAAGTAAAAGACACATGTAGGTATTGACTTTATCATTCAGTTCACCATAGTCTTGACCACAGTAAGTTTAACACTCTTGTGATAGAAAATGACCTAAACAGATAACTTTAATACATTTCCTATGACAGTCCCTTTAAATAATAGGCAATTGTATTAGGCTTTAATTGCTGCTGTAACGAATTGCCAAAATTTAGTTTGAAACAACTCAAATGTATGACTTAATAGTTCTAGAGGTCAGAAGTGTAAAATGGTCTCTCTCACCAGGCTAAAATCAAGATGTTAGCAGGGCTGGTTCTTTCTGGTGATTTTAAAAGAGAATCTGTCACCTTACAGAGGCCACCTATAGTCCTTGGTTTCTGGCCCCTTTATCCAACTTGAGAGCCAGCAGTATCAGGCACAGTTCTTATGCAGCCATTTTCTGCCTCCCTCTTCCACACTTAAAGGCACTTGTGATTGTATTGGGCCAACCCAGATAATCCAGGATAATATTTTCCATTGCAAGGCTAATTGATTACCAACCTTACTTCATGTATAATCATAATTCCTCTTTGTCATTGTGTTAGTCAGCTAGGGCTGTCATGACCAAACTCCACTAACTGGGTGGTTTAAACAACAAAAATTCATTTTCTCACAGTTCCAAAGGCTGTAATTCCAAGATCAAAGTGCTGACAGGGTTGATGTATGGTGAAGTCTCTGTTTAGTTGACAGATACCTCCTCACTGTGTCCTCACATGGCCTTCCTCCAGTGCCTGTGAAGGCAATCCTGGTCTCGCTTTCTCTTCTTATGAAGCCAATAGTGCTGTTGGATTAGGGTCCTACCCTTAAGACTTCATTTGACTTAATTATCTCCTCCAAGGCCCTATTCCCAATTACAGTCACACAGGGGTTAGGGATTCAACATATAAATTTGGGGAAAGCACAGTTCAGCCCATAATAGTCATGCAATTTATCATAGTCCCATTTTCCAGGGATTAGGACTTGGGTATATTTGAGGGGCCATTTTCTGCCCTCTAAAGTACTCAAGAAATGTTTGCTGAATGAATGAATGTATGACTGCTAAGGCAAAAATACTCATAGGTAAGCTCAGAGAAGACCTTAGCTTAACCTGGTGACTCAGGGGAAGATTCTAGAAGACTAATTGTGGAGAAATAAAAATTAATTGGGAAGGAGTAGGGAAAAAAATATTAAGTTTGATTTACAAATGAAAACCTAAGGCTCTGGGAGGATAAAGGACCTGAAGTAAAACCTGGTTCTCCCTCTCCTTCTCTAGGGCTCTACTCTATTGGTCAACACTTGGCATAGCACTAGGAAGTGATGCCCCTTTGAGATGACCGCAGTAATGAACAACAGGTAATACAAAACAGAAGAAATCCATCAGGCAAAAGGGTCTCCTTGGAGGATGTGGGGAACGAATACAAGAAAGCTCTAGATTTGGGACCAGCAGTTAGCATAATGGCTATGTCGCTGGATTCCCATGTAGTCGACTATGCTTCGCGTCCCGGACCCGGTGGCTTAAAACTCATGCTGGGTGCGTGTGCGTACGTGCCCAAGATCTCCAGAGGAGAATGGAGGAGAAGAGATTGCAGAGT